TACGTAAAACGTACCTCCATTCAACGGTTAGCTTGAGTTTCATCGAACCTGTGCTGTTTAGTGGGACTGCAAATGTCTACAAAAACAACAGTTACATTGAGGTTTGTTTTTAGGTTGAAGGARATTGTCATTCATGGGTTACCTGTGGTCTTGCGTTGATGTAGTTACGTGACCGCAGTACAACGTTACCTATCGATACGTTTGATTGAATTTTTCGCATTTCAACAACCTAGCAAATAACCAAATAGATGAGATTATCCYGGATGGATATATAAATATAAATACATAACTGATCGGATGTAATCGATAATTCCTCGTGAACTTACCCGAATCGATAACTCATCGTTTATCCTCGGAAGAAGAGGAAACTGCAAAGAAACAATCATTTTTGCAGTTGATGTAGTTTAAAACATGTTAATAATAAAYAAGTCGCCCTCATATTAGCCAATCAGAGAAGSATATTYCTTTTCCCGCCAAAGACTCATAATGCAAAACTGGAAAAMAATTTGACCAATCACAAGGGTTCATTTCTTCGCTGTGTTTTGTGGCGCGCCGCGGCCTTCTTGAAAACTACGATATTTGACACCAAAATRGATTCTTAYAGTAAATGACGGCCCTTCAGGATTCAGACGCTCAAATAATATAATTCCTTCAATGAAGTTGACTTGAAATGAAACTGAGTTCAAAATGAAGTAGAAGAGATGTGGTACAATTAAGCTCTTGAATCTCAAGGTAAGACATTTCAATTAGCCGCAAATCAAGTCAAATTGCCATGTTGTGCCCAGCGATTCCAGATAACAATGCTTTAACAGTTTGTGTTTGAAAATATAAGGAAAAAGAAGTGTCATTTTATATAGTGTACCTCATTATCAATCCATCTTTGCCCTTCTTTRTCTATTTTACATCTTGCTTTCCACTTAAACGTTGCGCCATGTTTTATCAAAATCTGAAAATAAGATTCGCATTCTGCATTAGAAATAGGCCYTGACTCATGAAATTATCATCTAATCAAGGTAAAATAATAGAGCCTTACATCGTATGTATCTCCACTGCATAGTCTACCAAACCCTGCTAAACCTACAAAACAAAGGCAGCAGTATATTTAGGACACAATGATTATAACATTAAGCTTAAGCTTAATTATACACAAGAATGGAAGATGAGGCTACCCAGAAAGCTATAAACTTGTCATCAGTTTGTTTGTGCATCAYAATTCGACCAGGAAATCAACAGCAATCTCAATAATAGTCATACCATAACCTCTACATACCTTCTAACTTTATTTTAAAAATTCCTAATTTGCTTTCRAGCTCTTGTTCTAGAGCACATAACCTCTGAAAAAAATTAAATGAACAAATTATAGGTTACAGGGACGATTCAATTTTTGTATCTTTATTTTACTTATCTGTATCTCGTACCTCGGTACATTCTTTAAAACTTGTTTTACATTTATCTAAACCTTCTTTGGATCCTTGCTCTCCTAAAGCATGTAACAGGTTCTTGGACCCTGAATAATACAATTAAAAGATAGCAAATTTCTTGATGAACTGTCTGACAGATTGATTAATAGTCTCCTTCACGGTTACCTGCGCCATCTTGAAATGTAGCCATGCCTTTGCATCGAAGCGAGACGACCGTTGAGCGTGCAATGATAGAAACCTTCTTTCACACTTACAGACAATCATGCACACTCAACGGTTGTCTCGCTTCCATGTTAAGGCACAGCTACCTTTCAAGRTGGTGCAGGTATCCGTGAAGGAGACTATTCATTGAGGAGATATAATGAAAATATGGCATCTCGCTCTTAAGAATTTACAAGCTTGATGCATTGTAATATAGCTTAGTAAAACAGTCTGAGTGAGTTGTTCCAGTTTTTTTTCTAGCTCTCAACAAAMTGTCATTTCAAATACTATAGAAAATAATCAATAACAATGTACCTTCTCTAATTTTCTGTTGATACATGTAAAGCTGAAAGAGTTCTTCCATCTGTTATTATAACAAAGAATATTATTTCAACATAATTTTAGCACATAATTTTTAAAAAAAATTCAGAAATAGAAGAGAACAATAATAATAATTTTACCTCATGAAGCCTTGATTCAAGGAGTCTGAAAATCAACAAATATATTTATAAAAACAAGATCAATCTATTTGATATTTTTGATATATTTTGTACAACAATCCTGACATGACAATGTGTGCAAAGGATTAACTGTCAGTTATATATTAGTTATTCATTAATTTGCAACTTACTTAATTCTCTGCTCAACTAGTCTTTTTCTCTAAAGAAATGCAACAAATCATAGTCAAACCTAATAAATCCATATTAAATTAAAGAGATTAAATGAATAAATACCTTCATTTCTACACTATTTAGAGCCTCTTGGAGATACTTTGAACATTCACTGAAATCATAACAAAATTTACTCCTATTAATAATAATATTATTACTAAACAGTTATTTAAGCCTTTCTACAGCTTCTCTGTCCTTCTGATAGGAATACAAGGATACATTCAATCCTCACCCCTCCCCAGCTAAAATTACCCTATTAGGGGAGGGGAGGATGGAGGTTACTTTTCATACATACCTTAGACCAGTCTGCAACTTGGTAAACATGTTTAAGGCACTTTCTACTCTAGGAACTTTGATGGCTGGTTTGGATCCAAACAGCCCAGTATGCTTACGGCGAACATTTTGAGAGTGACGTCTATCTAACTCAGCAGGGGAGGGGTGAAGTGGGATGGGTTTTATGCTACGTGAAGCTGCAGCACTGAATGACTGGGAACTAAAAAAATATGAGAGAAAATATTCTTGAATAAAAGAATAGCTTGTTAAACAAATAAATGGATGTGTGAATAAATGGATGGATCCATGAATAGATGGATGAGAACAATAGACATGAGATAATGAATAATTATGGCCATGAAACATTCAACAGAGGTGATAAATGAATGCAATACTGTATAATGTTATACTAAACCCATTATAGTTTTAAGTCAGTATAATATAACTCACCGATTGGCTGCACTTCCCTCRATGTTGAAATATGCACGCTCCATGCGTAATGACTTTGAGTGTCTGTTAGGTGGGTTTCTAGAAACTCCATTTTCTTTTCCCTGTGAATAAAATAAAGACCAACATGACTACAGAACTGATCACAAAATGAATGAATTTGAAACAAAACAAACAAACAAAAAAACAACAAACAAACAAAAAGAAATTGGTAAAAATAATAGGAAAAAATGTATTATATATCAAAATACAAGTATTAGAATCAATATCATGATCATGGTTTTATAGCTGAAAAACATATACTCAATACCATCTTATGACAACGTAAAAGCCATCATTGAAAGTGCTATTAAAGTAAGCTATAATCAAATAATCAACCCAAACAATTCAGGCTCAATTTATAACCTTTTACTTCAGATTTCCTCATGTTACATTTAGTGGCAAACCACAAGSAATAATTCAATGAAAAAACTCATAAAACCAGATTAAATATGTCCTTTATTTAGATTGAGGGTRAACTTTTAAAGATCAATGACTTGATTTCAATCGGCCTCCTACACTATGTTTCCAACACAAGATACGTTGTTGGTGTGTAGGTGGCTCAATTTCACTGAAATTCAACTTTTGCTTCAGTATTTAATTCATTAATATCATATTTCAAGTTTTTTGTTACTAGCTTTGTCTCAGAGGTTGAAAACAGTGTGTGATGGACTATATATAAGAATATTGGTGCTCAATAATGCATTTTTTATTACAATTTATTATTTTAATCTTGATCTGGTTTCTTTTCTCTCATTCTATATGTTGTATATCATTTCAGAATCTTTTATTTTCCATTTACTATTCTAAATATTGTATATCATTATCTCATTATTGTATCACGTAAATATGAATTAGTCTCATAGCAGTAAAATTAACCCACATATTAAACACATCGCACCTAACATATATCCCAACTGTCATATAATAAAAAAATTTTATCTCAAAGACTATTAAATTCACCCACAATAACAGATTGCACCAGTTTTACTGCTAGAACCTACTTCCCAACTGTCATATTATGTTTAATATTATATTACTACATGGACTGCTGAGACCACTCTCTTTTGCCTTCTCTTTTTATTCTACCATAATTTCTTACTTAAGCAAATCATGGGCTGCCTGTACGTAGGTCAAATAAACTGAAAGCTAGCATTATCCACTTTATAGATTTTATATGGATTTTTATTCACTGGATAAGGGTTTATCTGGTGGATATCAATACTTGCCCTTTGTACAACTGGGGCCTACAGTTATTTACATAAATGATACTCCCTCCAAGGTCATTGGCAAGTTAAGATACAGTACACACTTTCAATATTTCTGCATCCATGCTAATGCACTTTCAAATGTTTGCTTTTGGTTTTAGAATTTCATTCTTTCTGTGATGTTTGGCTTAAACTATTTATTTTGTAACAGAGAAAATCTAAAAGCCAAACAGTTTAAGATTCTACAAAATCCTGTTTATTTCTTTGAAAATAATTAWATCCAATTCAAATTTGTATAGAGATTTTCAAAATTTTTAAATCAAAATATTTTGGCTTGCACAAAGTGCAATCTATCGAAGAAAGTGAAACTACCTTGAGCTTGTGGTACTCGAGTATAAGTTTCATGTGTTGAAACTAAGAGCTTGTGGCCTAAAAGCTCTCAATTTGGCCACACATATATTTTTACAGGCCAAAGGAGAGAGACGAGAGTACCACATCATTAGCCAACCAAACCAGAGGGTGAATTTCAGTTGGATTCAAAGAGAAAGCCGCTTTGCTGGTTGAACATGAACCATTTATAATGGTATAATGGATTGGCAATTATTGGTGAATAAATGACTACCTAGGCTTTATGATTATAGCTTTCTTTACTGATGATTGTTTTACAAAAGGTAAAATTTAAACTTTTGCGAGAAAATCATTTTGAAACTATCGAAGGAATGTGTACTATAGCACAGTGAAAGTTGAACACTGAAACAAGCCTACATRGCTCGAAAAATGACAATTATTTGAATCGATTTAAGTATTTTTCTCGGATATTTTGCAATAAAATGGTCGGTTTACACAAGAGGATTAAAATCCTACTGTCTGAATCAACCGTTGTCAAAAAGTTTACATTTAGCACAACATTGAAAGGGGTCATAGAAGTGTTAAACCGATTGTCGACGGGTMCATCGAAACAACATTGAAATACTCACCATCCTTGGCCGATTGCTGTCCGATCGTACTTCAAACTGTTTGTATGGATTAACGATGACACTGACTTAAAATATTCCAATCTATGCCATGATACAGCCTGTTAAACGCGGACAAAAACAGCCTATATTGCAAGGAAAATCTTATTTACTTTCTGCATCAGCGAACGGTGAAATGTCACGTGACAAGAATAATAATGAGGTGCCCGTTACGATAACTTATCGATTTTTCCGATAAATAATCGGCAGTTTCTTTAGCATTCAAAACTCTCTAGAAAATAAAAGGAGAAGTTTGGTGGTGGGATTTAGTAGACGTGTTCAAGCGTAAGCCTGTAGAAGTGGTTTCCTACGCGACACGAGTTGACGAGCGACCCCAAGACCAGTACAAAGGGCTGCGTCACTGTTGATTTAATTAATTAAAACCTTCTCGATTACCACTTCCTTTGTAATACAATATCAATATAACAACCCCCTTACAGCGAACGAAGACTAGCGCCCGCATTAATAAGGTGAATGAACGAAAGAATACAATTTAGGAGTTTGTGGCTTTGTAATTCAAAATCAAATTTCAGTGGATAAAAGTTTTTGTTTTAGACCCTCAGTTTATCAACTGATTCTTATTTCGATCAGATTACGGAGAAGTATTGGATATCATGCACAGATAAACCAACTGCATTTAATGTGTCATAATATTCATTAATATCTGTATCATTGTCATCATAATCATCAACAATCATCTAACATGACTAATTTTGCATTCATTTGAGAGAATTCGATAAGAATACGCTTGATTTTTGTGTCCATATTTGTATCCTTACCAAGAAACGGGAAACACTATTTGAAAGTATCATTTTCAGGAGTCTAGACTTGGTTTTCTATCCAAATATGGAGCATAGAATCAGACCCGGAAGTACACTGATAACTTTATCTCGACACGACTTCCGCTATCATTTTCGACCCTACCCCGTACCCTACAGTTAGTATAAACCACGCCCTTGATGGTAATGCTATATTGTTATAATTATACGGGCGTAGTCAGAAGTCACGAGACAAGCAGACGGCGGGGACTGGGCACTACACGACAATACGAGACGTCATCCCGGAAGTAGAATTAATTTCGTACGAGATATCGTAGTTTGGGTCACGAACCGATGGTGAATCAGTGTTTTGTTGATCGGAATTACAGTTGTAGCTGCCAAAATATACCGCGGCAAATTTAATAGGCAATTAGATTTCCGGCCCCATTTGATGGTATTAAAAACAGTCATCGTGCTTCGGAAGCCTGTCTTCCAGAACTTATTTGACTTATTCGTACCCAGATTTTAAAATGGAAGACGTTCTATTTCAGGGTAAAGGAAAACAGAACTACAAAGGAAAGAAAGATATTTAATAACTTTTATTGAGTAATTTGCATTGTGTATTTCACCGACCACGTAAAAACCTGCGTCGCCGCTAACAGGCTGCCATAAATATGCATATTTCCATTTCAGCCGTAACATATATATTGTTTATATATTGTTTATACATCTTGCTTTCAATCCCATTATATTTGTATGCGTTTGAGGGAATTTTAAAAGCTCTGATTGGATAATCATAATGACGTCGTCTGCAATAGTGCTTGGACATAAAAGTGCCAAAGCTAGTATTAACCTTAGTATAAACATTTATATTGTTATGAATTGATTAGTGCTTCCTTTGACTACATATTGATATCTATTTCTTTGGACTATACTGATATCATGTTTTAATTGTCTGCGCAAATGCTAAGCTATGTCCATTGTACAAGCTGATGAACCTACATCACAACATTAACTGTTTTTTTATCAAAAACTATCCACTTTTATTTGCCGGTTATTTCACCAATTCTCATCTACTTCACCACATGACTTTTTTTGCTATCTCGATTTTTTTAATTTAAACGAAGATAATTGAATTAATATTTTCACTTTTTGTAATTTATTTGTATTAAATATCTGATTCGTGAACTTGTATTCTTGTATTCCTCAACTAATATTCACAGATACAAACCTTTAAATCTAGTGAAGCTTTGAAGAAAATTCCTTTTTTGGTAATTTACAAATGCGAACTACACGATATTTATCTGCATAGCCGGCATGTTTATCATGGAGAGATATGTGAAAAATATATTTGAAGCAATGTCAATCAAAACAACACTTTCTGTGCATGCATCCAATAATGTTATAGTTAGGATTAATAAATTAAAGATTGTCTTATAACTTTGCTAATGGAAAAAATCGCTTCTTGCTGTGTACTAATTAACGATAACAGAGCAATAACACCTTTTAAACACCAGCAAATGTCACGTTATCAAGCAGAACTGTCATTTAATCCGCTTATAGCACACTATAAAACTTGGAATAAGTCAGACTAGGTTTCTTGCATCGAACAACGATCGTATATTACACTACGTTTAAGTACAACAGTTGGTCAATTATCGCAAATATAAAGTTAAGTAGTGAATATGAACACTTTGAATCATTGGTTTGATCATATCCAAGGAATACTTTCCGCTCTAGTTAATTGCATCAATCGACCATACTATAACTAATAACTTTAAACAGTATAAAAGGTTATAGAATGTAACAATACTAACCTAACTAATACAAAACAACACAAAAACTTACCATGCAAGATATACACATTCTCCATAACTGAATCATAACAGTTTGACACAGTATTATTTACCGAAGATGGAACTTGTACCGATAAAATAAGCCATCAAACCTTCGTCATTACCGATAAACTTGATCGATAGATTATATTTTAACATCTTTAAATCATTCATGTCAGTACATTATGTCCAGAGTTAGACTATTTTACGAATTCTAGAACCGAAATCATTATCGATGTTGGTCCGGTTCAGACTTATATGTCTGGATTGTTGATTTTGTAACGTCGAATGACCTCATGAATATTATTAGAAACATTTCGTTACTAGTTTCAAGGTTGATTGAGGTTTATGAAATGAAACACAGGACTGCGACGCAAAGCATTTGAATATTCATTTAAAAAGAAAGAGCGCAGACATATTGTTCTCAACCCATTGTGGTTGGACTCATGTTCTGTTTTTGATTTTGTCGCTGATTTCTTTGTTTTTTTCATTTTCATGTTATGTATGTGAGGGTTTTTGGCTTTTCCTCAATCAATCAATCAACCAATCAATCAATCAGTCAATCAATCAATCAATCAATCAATCAATCAATCAATCAATCAATCAATCAATCAATCAATCAATCAATCAATCAATCAATCAATCAATCATCAATCAATCAAACAATCTATCGATCAATCTGTAAAATCAGAAAATTCCCAATTTCTTGCCCGAAGTTAAATTGTTTTTTTTTTTATCGAGTTTTAAATTTCTAATTTCGTTCTTTTCATTTTTGAAGGTACAACACGGTGCTATCAGGCCCCTTAAAAGGGCCAGCTACGCAGGCTAGGTGCTATTCACATCACTGTTGTTGTCATGGTAGCGGCCATGCTAAATGATATGCGCATACATTGTAAAAAATTCCATGACGTCATAACTCTCACTCGCAAAAAAAAATACACAGTGCAATCGCTCTCATCCGAGACTCTTCGTCCCATCTACGAATCCGATGAATTAGCAAACAAATGGAACCAAGATAGTGTCATTTACAACCTAACTTCTGGTATCTCAGTCTCTTTTCAATCACAACAGCTTYGAAAGATTTGTCAYAACGTATTTCATACCGTATGCCGAATTAATTCGGCTGACTAGCCAAGCGAAATTCAACGACTAACCATGTATTTTAGCATGTTACGACGTTAAACACTRCTTCGCTGGGAACTTATACCAAAAAATATGAAAATCAAGTCTCTAGGGGCGATKTTAGGGCTTGATTTGATCACTTCCGTAATGTTCTTCCTCGGTGTTGTGTCGATTGTTCGCGCAGCGGACAATTCAAGAACTTTGTGCTCCGATTCCGTGCCAAAAGACTGCAGTGCTGAGTCYACTATTTGCTTAAATGACGCTTCAAACTTCGATATCCAGAGCACTCCACTTGGTACCAAACACATGTAAGTAAGATATTGATGGGCAAAGGGTTTAAACGTCGCTATTTTTCTATTATAATTGATGTTTTCACGATCTGTTTATTTAGTTCAATCGAGTTGTTAACAGTACTAGCTGTTCGACTTTAAAGAGCATTCCATTATTAAGAGTTAGACGGATATCGTCGATTTCGAAGTATTTTTAAAGAAATATTTTAGTTCTGACTCCGAAGCGCAAGAGTTATTCTACCTTGTCAATTTCAATGCGTTCGACCACAGATGACATGTAGTTTATGATATTTGTCACGATAGGCAATTCCTTCATATTTATATTTCTCGTTATATTTTCGTTTTATCGTTGTAGTTTTCGATAAATATGTATTCCAATAATATCTCGCAATATTTTGACTTTTCGAATGAATTATATTTTCCTCAAAACTGCGCTACTTTTAATTACAAATATGGGGTCCCCCTCGTTGCTGTATTTGTTATGTAATCTTCTATATTTGTATATTAATTTGTACCATCTGCAATTCCCAATTATCCTAACTCAAGATCTTGCAACTGTCATGTTTTTAATACATTTTGTTTTTCTTGTGTTACGCGTTGGTGGATTTAATCGACGTATGTATTTTGCTTTTAGTAAAAGCTAGACTGACATCTACATTTCCACTCAACATAGCTTGATTTTAAGCTCGAGTAGTATCGCACGCAAACCATACTGTCAAATATACTCGTATATCTATCTTTTCACGCTGCCCTTTGACAATATTATTAATTTTTACTGCTTTATAAATTGACGGGAAGAGGTCTGCAGAATAACAGGACTATGATGACTGGTTGAAAAATACAYGACAGCTGTCATTCTTTTGATGAGGGCATTGTTTACTTGTAAAAAGTCTAGCAAAAGTATTTGTTACTTCGATTATTGGCTTGTGCTCGAAACAAACTATTGCTCAGGATGCTTCAGCGAAAACATTTCAATATATCAGACAATCAAGTGCTTTGTCTAGAAATTTCACACTCGACTCGAACTCATTTTGTTGACTTATACTCACACTTACTAATACACTTACTTTCGTACCGAAAGTATGAAAAACTCGAGTACAAACCTGCTGTAGAAATTTACCCCAATATATCAAGAATTGAAGGGAAAAAGGATACAGCTTGACACTTGAATTATGAATATCTTTCGGTCTTAAAAATAATTTTGTAAATTATTTCATTTTGCTTTGACATGAGTTTAATTTCCGCATTCCAGATTCAGAGCGGTTGCTATCGTCTCTAGATCAATACACACAAAACAAGATGAGAATATGTGGATCCGAATATGTTGTACTTTTAAAGTTTACAATAAAGACTTTTAGAAATATTCATGCAGATTTTGTTCTGTTAGTAGTTACTAGCAGATCGCATTGGACATTCCATTTTTCGTTACGTTTATTCAAAAGACATCTGCGCATTGCGAAAAACGTGCGTCGAATTGCACTAAGATTTACGTTGTTATGCAATTAARTAGGAATTTGACTTATGGTAGCTTGTGGCGTTTACGTGCTTTCGGAAACACTCGTCGATTGGCACTGAACTTACGTTGGTATACAATTAAGTAGGACTTCGTCTGCTTGTGTCGATGTTTATTGATTACGGCACACCTGCGTGACCTTGCGTTTTTTCGGTTTTGGTTTGTGTGGTTTTGGTTGGCTTGTAGTGAACCTTTGTTTAGTCTACAGCTCACGTCGTTACGTTTTGTCGCACGTAATAGTCTTGCGTTTCCGCCATGGTGTATGGCGTTCTTTAAGTATCAAGTGCCGTTCAAGTGCACTTTAGAACCATGTACAACTACGTAAACTTCTAATCATTGGTCATGCATGGTATGGCGAAGCGAATATCATTCATTTATCAAGACGTTACATTTCATTACGTACTTAATAAGGGCATTTAATCGGTACATTTCATTGCTTTAGCGTATCAAGTCTTAGGGCTAGAGTGATCGCACTTAAACGTGCAACTCTACATACTAAATAGTTCTATTTAGTTGTATTTAGTAAATCGTGCATGCAGTATGCAAATTAAATTGAATTGATACAAATGAAGCATTCAATACCTTGCTTCAGGTCCACGTTTAGCACAAATTAGTACTACTTGGATTTTGTACAGTTGTACGGTTTAAGTGCGATCAATCTATCAAGTCTTAGGGCTGCCCGCTTTTTGCTTGTGATCAATATCTCTAGTGCAATTTATTAAATTGTACTGAATAGTACGAATTTGTATATTGTCTAATGCTTATTAGCTTAGCAACATTTCCTAGTACTTAATCTTCCTTTTCSTATTGTTTAAGTTGCTCGTTCCTTCTTCATCTTATTCGTCTTCTTCTGGTTTTTCTTTTCATCCTCTTTCTATTTACTTCCTTCCCATTCCTCCATGGCTTCCTTTTCTGACTCGTCCTACTCGTTCAACTCGGTGCTACTCGTGATGTCGTGTTGTGCTTATTGACTTAATACAGTATAACACGTTTTCTCTATTTCTCCCGACCTTATGACACTTTTATACTTGGTCAATACGTTTAACGAGATATCTTTGAATGGATCTCAAGCTGCAGTCCACTGTTTAGCCGATTTTGTGCGTTTTTTCWTCACTGCATTTCTTATCGGAAAAAGTTATTTGTTTTGCAATATTTTAATTTAAATGCAAATGAGACTCGTTTATAATTTTTTTAAATATTTTTTTTTCACAGTATGCGTTATAGATTCGTGCTGAAATTAAGTAAGATTTCTGCGAGATCACAAGTATTTTTTTGTCCTTTTCCCACTTTTTTACCTTATGCACCAACTATATCTTGTGTTTTCTTCAAATTTTCACTTTTATTTGGATATTTTTAAATATAATATTATGAAACTTATGTAACTTTTACCCAGTAATTGACATAAAATCTATAAACTGGTATTTGTGCTAAAGTTATTACCACCAGCTGTACAAGATATGGAATATATGTTTCGCAAAAAAACCTTTGAATTTCAGCATGTTATGTTTTCGGTGTCTTAAACGTCCGCGCATAACCCTGTCATATCGCATTWCCTCTGTTTTGCACCTGTACCGTTTAAATATTGTTTTATAGAAAACATGACAACTCGTCAAACGTTTTTCTTAATGTCATCTTTTCTTTTACATTCTTTATCTTGTTCTAATTTCTAGAGTATATTATTTTCTTTTGCGGGTTATTTTCACTCACTTCTATGGAAAGTCACACCAATAGTTGTGGCCTAAGGTTACTCTCTACTTCCCCTATCTCTGTATGTGGGTGTCGTAGTATTGTGTAAACGCAGACTGTACTGTAATCTTCTTTATTTCTGGCGGCACCTAAAATGTAGTTTCTACTTGCGCTTATGAAGAATAAAATTTTAGAGTTCTTGATATCTTTGTTTGATATTTTCCTTTAATAATATTTACTTTAATCAATTCCCGTTACCATGAACTTAATAAATAAATGTAAATTTAGTTCACTTAAAATGGTATTTATTAACCCGTTGAATACACTTAAACATATCACACTTTTTGACTTTGTATTTTGCACGTTTTTTATCTTGTATGTCACACGCTATAATACTTTGTCTATTAAACATAACCTCATGTATGAAAGCTTCCCTTAATACTAAAATTCGTATAAACAAATCAGTAATCCACTATTGGTCCAAACARCTGTAGCATGGAGCTTGTTGGGTTCTTATTTAGGACGTTTTTAATCCACGCAAAGAATTCGATTTAAGGTGTTTGTATAAAAATGATGCATTAGCTATTTCCATGGCAACACTAACGTAATAGMTTAGGCTGTAATCACGATATATATAGATCTTTTTTCTCACATGACGTTCACATGTTTAGATTCTTTCAATAATTAAAATAGTTATAGATTCATTTGAATTTCATCTTCGTATTTAACGATTATATGAAAGCTTCCTTTCAGAAAACGTTGAAAACCCTCTTTGTCTCTTATTTCATTTTCTTGTTGTCAGACGGTAATCCAGAGGAAGTATAAAGGGATTAGTAAGTCTAGTGTTAAACTAGTGTGAACTGAGTCGGTTTTTCATCGGAGATGCGTCGTCTTTCATCGGAGATGCGTCGGTATTTCATCGGAGATGCGTCGGTATTTCATCGGAGATGCGTCGGTATTTCATCGGAGATGCGTCGGTATTTCATCGGAACAGAGTCGGTGTTTTTGTCATGAAATAGTTGTAATAAAACGATAAAATTATACACGAAAAGAAAATGAAAGTTTTCGGTGTTTCAGTCGTTGATCCTTCCTCTGACAAAGGACAAACGATGTGTTGTTTTTTACGTGAAAGGCGAAAAAGTCTCTGAGGAAACATGTTTTTTATTGAAAAGGTAAAAGATAATACAGGGACTCAAAGAATTGTATGTCATTCGTGCGGGTTCCCTGTGCTTTTTAGTTTTGGGCTTCCTTTAGCGAATCCATGCCATATATGGAAACAAAATGGCGGATTGTTTAGAAGTGTTTTCGCTATAATATATGCAAGTTTCCGACGATTTCAAGCTTTAAAAGTCGAGAAAATCGACAAAAACCATTCCTATCGAACTTCCAAATAAGGTAAGATTACCATATATGGCTGCTAAACGAAGGATAACTTTGTGGGGGCAATTGTTTGATAAACATGAGTAGAGAGANATTGATGACGTGTTTCATTGTCATCAATATTCTCATCATCATTATCATCATCATCATCATCATCATCCTATTCATTATCAACATTACTGAGTATTGTACGTATCGTAGGTTTTTATGCATACATCGAGACCTCAATACCAAGGAAAACAAACGATAAAGCCAGACTTGTGAGTCCTACYCTGCGTCCAGTGGGCAAAAACCAGACATGTAATGTAAGTTATCCTCCAATAAYAACTAACGTTCTATTTTCCGTCCAATCACAATCAATCTTCTGTCTTTCACCAATCACATTTTATCTTCTATCTTGCCTTTAATCARTACTAACATTCTATCTTTTGTCCAATCACAGTTAACGWTCTATATACATATGTATGGCGATACCATTGGCCAGTTCAACGTTTACCAGGCCCCAGTTGTTGGTCATGATATTATTAAGAAAAGATTGACCGTGTCACAAGGGAATGCCTGGGTCCGAGAGAACGTAACGTTTGATAGCGAAAGAGAATTCCAGGTAAGATAYTAACTTATTAAACTAGACATTCAAAATAGAACAAAATATCTCGACTTTTTTAAACTTCCCACATGGGTCAGTGAAATATAAATATTGAAATCATGACAGCAAATTAGTTGCACAGTTGTTAGATTCTGTGATTTTATTCATTGCATAATGATTTGTCTAGATTCTGTGATTTTATTTATTACATAACGATTTGTGTATCTAGCCTTCGTACAACTTGTGCTATTGTAATCGATGGGTGTAACATTTTCAGGTCATTTTAGAAGGTGTTAGAGGTGTGAACTACCGAGGGGACATCGCTATTGATGATATCTCACTCTCCTCCGGATGTCAGCGACTAGGTAATGATATCATGCTATGTCGCCT